GGGGGGGGGGGGAGTAATGTCCCTGGTTCCAGGAAGGCATGGGAGCTCTGTGTCAGGGACTCTCTCAGACCTCACCCTACATGCATCCTTAATAATAAGCTGTAATTGTAAGTGCACGTAGTGTATGCCTCACACTAAGCTTTCTGATTGCCAAGGCATCCACTTCAGAAGACATCCATCTTGACTAAACACAATGCCAGCCTTATGATACAGCTAGTAGTAAAACAACCAGATAAGCAATCAGGCCCACCCATGAAGACCCCTCCTGCAGAAAGCCCTAGGTCACCTAGATAACTATTTGGGTGACCCTGCTTCCCCCTTCCTGGACCCTAATTCCTGCTCTTATGCTTTAAATTCGACAATAAAGAGACAACCCAGGAAACTTAGATGCCCTGCCCTCAGACCCTATTATAGGCAGAGCGCCAGGTCTCCCCCCCTCTGCCACCCCATGACCTGGCTCTGTGGCCCTTGGGCATATCAGGACCTGTGAGTAACAAATCTGTCCCTCGAAGTTCCCTGATGGTTTCATTTTGAAGTCTGTTCTGTGATCACAATAGGAACCATGAGAGCCAGCCAAGCCATAAACAGGGCTCTGGTGCGGGGAATGTCTATGGAGCTTGCTGCAAGTAATGTGAGTGCAGCAGGCATTCCTAAACTAGAGGGCTACCATCAGTAGGCTCAGGACCCCCAAAGCATTACAGCTTTGTTTTAATTCTGTGAGTTGTTATAGCAAATTACTGACCCAAAGGGTTTGTGGGAACCCCCATATCTATAGCCAGTTGATCAGATCTATGGGTGGCCAAAATGTGGCTGGTCTCTGAAGTGAGGGCAGTCTTGTGGAGAACAGTCTTTAACCTATGGTTCGATCCTAATTCCAGGTGGTTAGTGTCAAATTGTACTGCAGTGAGCCCACTGGTGTCTGAACACCTGGAGTGGAGGCAGAATTGTGACCAAAGGTTTGGATCCTTTTGTTAGTTCTACAACTATTCACTGAGCACGTATTATGTGACAGGTGACGCTCTAAGCTAAAGATCCACAAACTACGGACCACATGCAAATCCAGCTGGCCACCTGTTTTTTAAATAACATTATAAACACCACATCCATTGGTTTATGGATTCTCCGTGGCTGTCCTCACGCCATCAGCTTAGAGTAGCTGCAGCAGAGACCACATGACCTTCAGAATAAAAATATTTACATTCTGGCCCATTGCCAATGCTTGCTCTAAGTCACCAGCACACGAGCGTGAACAGAACTTCCCTGTGGGACATTACAAATGACCACCCGTTCTGTTCAGCCTTCCCAGCAGGAAGCAGGGTCTATGGCCTCATCCAGCGAAGCTGGGCTTAGCCAAATTAACTGCTCTGGCCGATGGGACATTAGCAAATGTGATGTCAGCAGAGGCTGAAAAGTAGGAGCACAGTGGAGCAAGTCCTTCCTGGCTGCCAGAATGAGAAACCATCTAAATATGAGCAGCTATCTTATGCAATCAGTCAGGGCCTACCCTGCCCCTGCCAGACAAACCACCCATCAACCATCAGAAACCAGACATGAGTGTTAGGTCATTGCATTCTGGGCTGTTCTATCATGTAGCAGGAGCTAACTGATACCCTTTGTGAAGCATACGGTAGACTTGGGGAAAATTAACAAATTGACAATTACAATATCGGCTAGTGGTATAAGCCATGAAAAGTTAAAACTGAGTTAAAAGCAGCTGGACAGGTAATTCAGACAAAGTGGTCAGACAGGGAAGGACTCTCGGAGGAAGTGACTTGCAAGCTGTAACCTGGATAACAAGAAGCCAGCCATGCAACGATCAAGAGGCAGAGCATTCTAGATGGAGGGGACAGGGACACGCTTAACATGCACTCCAAATACTGAGTCCTCCCCATCTCGGTGAAGAGCACACACTACCCCCACCAGGCGTCTCTGTGACCACATGGTTCCTCGTGTGCCCCCGACCTCTGCTCTGAAAACACCAGGAACTATTTCTGGAAAAGCCACAAGAATGGAAGAAAGCATATCTGGTCCTATTTGATATCAAACCACATTAGACAATGTAACAGGACTAACGTCTTTCATAAAATAAAATAAAAGCCTCAGAAGGAAAAATATTAATTTTTTCAACACCTTCGGAGTAAAATTGTGCCATAATGAGTCGTAACTTGCATCACTCGCTTTGCCCTTTCCCTCAGCGAAGGTCAAAGCATCACAGGACATACTGTCCAGTTCCTGAGGCTCGGGCTCCAGGGGCCACCACATCGTCAGGAGGACAGCAAGGGAGGTTGCTGTGCTCCTTGGGTCTTAGTTATGGTGAGGAGAGAATACCTTTTATTTAAAGCCAATGTCTTTTAAACAAACATCTTACCAAAAGATGTTAATAAAAAAACAAAACAAAAATGAATCAACAGGAGTATGGTCACTTTCCCAACCTTGCTGATAAACTGGCCCCGAAAAAGAAAATATAGCTCTGTCTGGCATGCAAAGTGACTCATAGTTGCCTATTTTTGGTCAACAAAGTCACATGACAGGTTTCTGTCAAAAACTAATAAAACATGTTGTACTTGCAGGTTTCACAAACACTCAAGAGAGGCTCATAGAACTGAAATAAAGGTTGTTTTTCACACCCTCCCTGCCCGGGAAACAAAATTTCCCACCAGAACACTCTCATTTGGCTAATTCTCAAGTCTGAAGAGGAGGATTTTTTACGTAAGCAGGTCAGCTCAAGGCCCCTCGTGCGTCTGTTTCTGATTTGTTTTTATGTTGTTTGTGAAGGGTTTTTTTTTTTTTTCCCAAACCCGCAACACGAAAACCAGGAAACAGATTTTTTAAACTTGGTTACAGCCCCAAGAAACCAAAATAGCTCATCTAAGAGGTAACAGCATGAACAAAAAGCCTGCAATGTGCACAAGGCGTCTGACTCCCAACGAAGAAAGAAAACCCTGCTCTCCCACCCAAGCAGGAGGAAGCGGTCTCGTGGACTGTGCTGGGAAGCCCAAGGAAGCGCTGGCAGCGACCGGGAACCAAGGCCCGCCGCCTGTGCTCAGGCTGATCGCAGTGCACCGTCCAGCTCCGGATCGGAAGGAACATGAAAAAGCCTGAGCTCTGTTTTGGGTGTAAGAGCTAGGAAGTCACATGAGTGGGGACAGTCCCATAAAGGTGGAGGATTCCATGGGAAGCCAAGGCCTTCTGTCTCTGTGCTTTCTATTCCCAAAGCTAAGCACAGAAAGCTTTAAAAATCACGTGCAAAAATACAAAAACACTTCCCCTCTAGCCCTTTGCAGAAGGTCTGTCGGCTCCTGCTGCAAAGGCCAGGACCAGGACGGGAGGCAGAAACGGCATCCAAGCTACCCAAGCATCTCCCCTGGCCACCACGGCTCCCTCACTCATGGCACGGATTCTGGCTTTTCATACAGGTTTTTTTAGTGTGTTTTTTATTAAAATTTTAATGTTGACATTATTGCAGGTGTTCTCCTTCCCCCGCCTTTGCCCACCTCCACCCACCCGGCCTGTCCCTCCCTTGGCCTTCACCACACTATTGTCCGTGTCCCTGGGGTCATGCGTGTATGTTCTTTAGCTGATCCCGTCACCACCCCCTCCCCCTGGGCACCAGCCACTCTGTTCCATGTGTCTATGCGTTCGGTCCATTTTGTTCATCAGTTTATTTTGTTCATTATATTTTAACAGGTGACACTACCATCACCAACCTCACGCTCCTTCCCCTCTTTGCTGCTCCCACCCCCAGAACCGACCCCCAGGACTCACTTGCTGGAATTCATCGTGTATCCAGAGGGACACTCAGGAATGCACTTGTTGTTGTGAATGACATACTGGTGGCAGCCCGGCCTCCGCGAGTTCTTGCATCTGTTGTGCAGGTCCTGGCAGAAGCTGAAGTTCACACAGCGCCAGTCCTGGAAGTGATAGTACGGGGGCGGGCAGGTCTCCACGCACCGACCGTCCAGGTAGAAGTGGCGGCAGGCCGCGCACTTGGTGGGGTCGTTGGGCTCCGAGCAGTTGCCCAGGCACTCGCTGTGGCAGCAGAGGCCTTCAGCAGTGCAGCCGTGCGACTTACAGCTGGTCGGGCAGACTAGAGAGAGAAGGAAAAACAGCTGGTCAGTGGCTTGCCCAGCTCCTGTATGCACAAACAGCAGTGCTGGCTCAGGGCGTGCAAGCCAAACAAAAGAAAAATAACAATAACAGCCTCACCTCTACAGCACGTGCTAGGCCCCAGGCACAAAACCACAAACCAAAGTATGAACTGTTTAAGCCCCCAAACCAGTGGCGTGCTGTAAATATTTAACAACCACTTCAAAGAGGGGGTAAAAGAGGATCTAACCTATAGCATCTGCCAATTTCCACGGTGTAAATACCACCAACCTAAAGTTACCGAACATGGAGCTGGTGAGGGATATATGGTACCACAGCATAAATAGTATTTCCACCATATAGACAGAATAGCAGCAAATAAGCTCAAGGCATAAATACAGCACCCCCCTTATCTGTGGGGGATTCATTCCAAGACTGCCAGTGGATGCCTACGTCTTGAATAGTACCCAACTCTATAGATACAATGTTTTTTCCTGTACATACATACCTGTGATAAAGTTTAATTTATAAATTAGGCACAGTAAGAGATTAACAACAATAACTAATAAAATTGAATAATTATAACAACAGACTGTAATAAAAGTTACGTGAATGTGGCATTATGAAGTAAAATAAGGGTCACTTGAGCATAAGCACTGCGATACCAGGACAGTCAACCTGATCATCAAGCTGGCTACTAAATGACTAATGGGCAGGGAGCGTACACATGGTGCAGACCCTGGGCAAGGGGATGAGTCACATCTGGGGAGGGACTGAGTGGGATGGCAAGAGATTTCATACTACCCAGAATGGCACACAATTTAAAACTTATGAACTGCTTAATTCTGGAATTTTCCGTAATATTTTCAGACCACGGGTCACTGAAAATATAGAAACCGTAGAGAAGGGACTACTTATAGAAAACTATAGTGAGGTCACTGGTATTTATTACCTTTGTTTTTAACATAATTTGTTTAATTGTAAGTTTATTATTTAAATTTTAATAACAGCTTGTGAACAACTAGTTTGCAAATTTCCTGAAAATTAAACAATCGGCTCCAGCAAGCCAGCTCCACACACAGCTGCAGTACTGGCAAACAGATAAATTATAAATAAACAGATACATTATTGTCTCCATTTTCTCCATCTTACAAATGGGAAAACCGAGGCACAGAAGGTTAAGCAAACTGTCCAACAGTCACACACTGCTCCTCCAACAGACACGTGCTTGCACTGCCCTAGATCCTGCAGCCACTGCAGGGCCACAGGTCCCCTGCCTTCAGGAGCACACAGTCTCATGAAGAAGGCGTATTATTCAAACACACAAATGTGCAACTGGATATGTTGTGACAGGCACCATGCTAGAGGTGAGGAGAGGTGACATTGCTGCTGCGACTGGAAGGAGCTAATGGATGGGCAGGAAAGAGAAGGCCCTGCAGATGGGGGCAGATGCTGTGCATGGGTTTGGGGCCTGGAGAAAATTTCTTGTTCAATTCAAATGAACTTGGCCACGGAAGGCTGGACTCTTTCCTGGCTTCCTCCAGCACCTTGTTACACATCTCCTTTCTCCCCATGTCTCACTACTCACTGCTTCCTAATTATCCCTTGACTTCAGTCCCTTGGCATCTGGCCTGGGCCTCCAGGCCCAGCCCTCCCTTCCTAGATTGTCATGGACAAATGGCTTCCCTGTGGCTGGACAGACCTCAGCCAAGCAGAGCCTGTCCTCAGAGGTGCTCTCTTCACTTGCTCCCTGCAGGGCTTGAAACGCGACTTGGACGCTGAAGAGTGTTATCTACTCCAAACCCTCAAGCTTTTTGATTCTGCAGGAAACGGCCCTAGTGGACCCCACCAACTGAACCCAGGGAACAGAGTGTCCTCTGCAGAAGCACTGTCTGATGGAACTTTCTGCGACAACGGAAATGTTCCCAATCCGTGTGCTGTCTAACGTGGTACCCTAGCCACATCTCCCCTGTGGCTGTTGACTGTGGTTCATGCCACGAGAAACCACATTTTTTTAAATTGTAGCAAAATATACACAGCATAAAATTTGCCATCTTAACTATTCTTAAGAATACAGTTCAGTGGCATTAAGGACTTTCAAATTATCGTGTAACCACCCCCCCACCCGTCTCCAGGACTTTGTCATCTTCCCACCTGAAACTCTGTCCCCATCAAACACCAGTTCCCCACCCCCTCCCCTGGCCCCTGGCTCCCACCATCTACTTTCTGTCTCTATGGATCCGACTGCTCTAGGGACTTCTGTGAGTGGAATCATACCCTATCTGTCCTTCCGTGACTGCTGTATTTCACTGAGCATAACGACCTCAAGGATCATGTGTCTGTTCAAATTTCCTTCCTTTTACGGCTGAGTAATATCCCATTGTGTAGACGGACCACGCTGTGTTTATCCACCATCCACCCATGGGATGCTGGGGTTGCTTCCACCTTTGGCCGTTGTCAGTAATGCTACTGTGAACGTGCTGTGCAAATATCTCTTCGAGACTGCTTTCAATTCTTTTATGTATATACCCAAAAGCAGAATTGTTTAATCATACAGTAATTCCACTTTTAAATTTTTGAGGAACCGCCATGCTGTTTTCCACAGTGGCTATACCATTTTACATTCCTGCCAAGAGTACACACAGGTTCCAATTTCTACTGAGAAACCAAACTTGAACTTGTATTTCAATTTTAATTTTTATGGCCACCGGCTCTTGCATTGGACAGCAAAGGCTTAGAGAATAGAAATAAACTCCATGCCAAGGCAAAGAAGTTTCATGTGGTCTTCGTGCCTGCCGGCCTCTCTGCACCCTCCCAGCCCAAGGCAGCAGCCACCCTCGCCTCCTTCCTGCCCTTCACATACCCAGGCTCAGTCCTACCTCAGGACCTTGGCATGTGCTGTTCTGGCTAGAGCACCCGACCCCTTATAGCCTCCCACAACGGGCTCCTTGTCACCCTTCAGGGCTCAGCACCTTAGAAAGACCTTCTTTGGCCTCCCCACTGGAAGTCACTCCCTCCTTCTCAAACCATGATCTAGTACATTATCTTGTGACATTTTTCGTATAGCACTTACCACTCTCGAAAATTATCTTGTTGAGTGACTAGAGGGAAGCTTAGGGAGCAGGGCCATGTCTGAATCATTCACTGTCCTGGCGCCTCCTTCCACCCAGCAGGAACTCAGTAGACACATGTTCAATTAGAAAGAGGAGGCAAAAGGAAGGACTCTGGAACAGTTCCAAGTTCCCACTTTTGAGCTGATGGCTCAAAACTTTCTGCAAGAACTCCCAGTTGCAGGAGCTCCACAAAACCACATGCAAAATTCGGGGCACCTATGCATATGTGCATATTATGATTTTCTCCATGGATCAAGAAAGAACTAAGAAGCTATAACAGGAGCAGAATGGGCGTTAACCCACCAACGTTCTGTGCAGTGTTTTTAGGGTTCACGTACCACCCATAAGCTCTTTACTTTATTCTAACAAAGACCCCAGCAGGGAGGGGATAAATAATATGATGTCCATTTCACAGAGGCAAGAAGACTGGCTCAGCTGAGGTGGAACGGGGCCCAACCTGGAACCTCACTCTTTGGGCTCTTGCATCTGATATTCCTGGGTCCAAAGAAGGGCAAAGCCAACCCCAGGGTCCATGCGGCCCAGAGGGAAGGGCGATGAGAATTTAGCTTTAGTGACATAGCGCCTGCTGCCACTCAGGAACACCATGAAGGTTTCTTTAAAGAAACAAANAATATGATGTCCATTTCACAGAGGCAAGAAGACTGGCTCAGCTGAGGTGGAACGGGGCCCAACCTGGAACCTCACTCTTTGGGCTCTTGCATCTGATATTCCTGGGTCCAAAGAAGGGCAAAGCCAACCCCAGGGTCCATGCGGCCCAGAGGGAAGGGCGATGAGAATTTAGCTTTAGTGACATAGCGCCTGCTGCCACTCAGGAACACCATGAAGGTTTCTTTAAAGAACCAACAGCNGGGCGATGAGAATTTAGCTTTAGTGACATAGCGCCTGCTGCCACTCAGGAACACCATGAAGGTTTCTTTAAAGAAACAAAAGCCTTGGTTTTCTTGTCTATAAAATGGGGGTGATAACAGCAAGTCCCTGCCTCCTTCTTGTAACTAAATGGGATGAGATGGGTAAGCGCTGGATTCTTTGACAGGCACGCTGTAGTATGATATCCCTTAGCCACTCTGGGTAGTATTGCTACTATCATCATCATCGTTAATGCTCTGTCTGCAAGGACACAAGGGCTGAAGCTCAATGGCAGGAGGCAATATATACAGGGCAGACAACAATGATCTAGGACCCACAACGCCCCCAGCCTCTGGGAGGTCATATGTGACAGCAGGAAGGGCCTATTTCCTGAGCTGGGGGACATCTGAGGGTCAGTTCTTAAATTCAGAGGAGGCATCAGCAAAGACCTAATGAAAATGTTCTTAATACATAAGCCTTCCGGACCAGACAATGCTAAGAAAATGATGCAACACCAGCAAATAGGCTGAAGGCTGACCACAGGACTCTCACATGTCATGCTGCGGCCCTGACTAAAAGGCCCACCTGAGAATGACTTCACTCTCCAGCACAGGAGCTGGCAGACTTTTTCTGCAGAGGATCACTAAGCAAATATTCAGGCCATACGGTCTTGGTCGGTCTTGGTCGCAACTAGTCCCCTCTGCGGCTGTAGTGTGAATGCAGCCCAACGTCCACAGTGTCCAATAAAACTTTATTTACAAAAGCAGTTGCCAACCCTTTACCCAGTCAGACGTACCTGTGGTTGATTTACTGTTTCTATTAGGACCTAGACTCCAGGAAGCCAGATGCCAACTTACAGATGGATCTGCTGCAAATCATTTTACCTGACAGAAGAGATAACCTCCCCCAAAGGGCAGTTTTATTGCCCATAGGACATTAAGCAGCCTGTCTCTAACTTCACAATCCAATTTCAGTGACTGCAATGCTTTGGCTTCACCATCTTACTGGCCCCTCACTAAAG